ATGAGGATGGTCTAACAGTGGTTAAGTTGCAAGTGTTATACTATATATACCTGGTAAATAGTTCCCAGCTTTATTTAACTGGACAAATTATTATGGTATATTTCCTTATAATCTCGTATATAATTCGGGTATGTCTAGTTTTGGAGATCCTTATATACAAGTAGTTTGTGACTTTTGTGATTAGAATTTTGCCTTAAAATTTTCTGTACGTACTTTTTGTTAGGTTCTTAATTAAATCGGAGATTAACTGATAAAAAAACATCCATATTGACATACATAAAGATAAGGTTACATATATGTACTCTTTACATGCTACAAACAGACACAAATTCAAGTTGTAGCATTATTACAAATTTACAACAAAACTCTTAAGAGAGTAAAGTTTGAACCGGTCTGCATACACTCACACCATATCTAAATAAACAAAAACTGCAAAAGAGCCACACACCTTTGGCCATACTTCATCCCTTAACTATGAAAATCAGCATAACTGGAACGTTGAGGCTTATTGCTTTCGTTTGGTTTAGCCGTTTGGGCAAGAGACATGAAACAATTTTTTTTCTTTTTTTTTCGAGATTGATTGACAAAAAAAAACCGGCTGTTTTACATGGATTGAACTAGCTAGTCGGATTGATAGACCAAAAAAGTTGCATTGGTGGAAGATCTTATGGACTCTTTGACGGTACGAACTTGTGGACCGTGGTAGATGTAAAAACTATTATGGGTATAGAGAGAAGAGAGGTTGGGATTATAATGATAAGGAAGATTAGGATTTGACATGGAAGTGTTTCTGTTGAGCTTTTTTGACCCATCTTCTGCAATCAACACATGCCGGTCCTTTCGAGAAAGTTCCATGGTAGTAGAAAGAGTGAGTGAAGGAGTGATATTAAGAGTGTATTGAGTTTGCTATTTTGGGTGGTTAGGAAAGAGGACAGAGTTAGTGGCTTTTATATAGAGACTGAGGGTGTAATTGTCATAAGGGCAGGACATTATTAACATTATATTAATGATACGATTTTCATAAAATTCTACTTTAGTTCTTTTCTTTGAATGTATTTGATGCATTCTGTATCTATTAACGTATTGATGGAGAATATTGAAAATCCAATCAATATATAGACAAACTTGTTAGAGATTAAACTTAAAATTAAGTAAAAACCAAATGAAATCTGCCATATTTTGTTAGTTTTGTGTGTTTGTGTGTTATTATGACTAGGGTGTTAGATATTTGGTTAGATTTGTGGTTGTATTAGGAATATTGCAATATGCTAGCTTGGTCCGTGTGGGTTTGACAGATCATGTGGCAGGTAAAAATAGGATTTTTTAGAGCCCAGTCCTTTGCACTAACGTTAGTGAAACCAGCTGTGAGTGTATCAAACCTGTGATTAACGCCCAATACATATATAAACTAAGGGCTTTTATGGATTTGGCTGAACATTTGGTCATATATATAAGTTGGGAAGAACATGATCTTGATTATTTTAATAAGCCTAAACAAATAGAACCAAGAAGACTCTTCTACGACAAGACAACCAAGCTTTCAAATATGCAAGTTGAAACTCTGGTAGCAATAATTTCATAGACTTTTAACATAATATTCTTTATAGGGAATAAAAATCTAAATATATCATATATGTATGAAACGTGTAATGGAAGTATGTATATTTATGTGGTAATGTACATGACTAAGAAAAAAAAAATCTTCAGAAATCTTGGGAGAGAAGGGATATGGAATCCTGCTTTCGGAAGGTTAAAGCAACACTGGGAGAAAAAGAGAAAAAGTCGGTTAGGATTTGGAATCATTCAACTCTACAATTATATATTCCTCTTATCTGCTTTTCATAGACTTCTTTCAGTCTTTGGTTCTCAGAATATAATTAACATATATCCAAGGATACCCATTTTTTTTTTCTAATGGTTATCATAATGGTATTCATGAACAGTTTTTGTAAGAGAACATAGCATTTATTGTCTACCAATTTTACCAAAAGATTATTGTTATCAAAGTCTAAAATTTCTAATACATATGGTATGAATATTTCATTGATAGCAATAAATATGTGTATCAAAAAGAAAAAATAATCAGGGTATTCAAGATTAGGGGAAGAGTAATCAGATTCTGCTAGTGAAATATGTGTATGAATATTTCATTGATAACAATGAATATTTACAAATGATACTAAATTTGAGTTACAAAAGGTAACTTCATCAAGCCAAATATTTGACTAGCAGAATCTGATTTTTCTTGCTTTTAAACCCTAGTTTTTACATTTTGAAGTGGACTTTTTATTTTTCTAATTAAGTTCATCATCTAGTTTCGGAGATTGTAAGCTACTAAGCTTTATAGGGGGACATTTCATACCCCATACAGAATTTGGGGAAGATGCATGAACTTGTTTTAATACTTTCAGTTTTCGCGTAATCATATCCGTTGTTTCTTTTCTTTTCTTTCAACTAAATTTTACGGTATGATAGATATAGAATTGTGAATAAAGGATAATAATTTCATTTTCGTCTTTGTTGATCACCTAGTTCTATTGCAAAAAAAAAAGCCAAAGTATTTGATGTTTCACCTAAAACAGATGATCAAATTAAAGGAGTATTTTGAAACCTAACCCATCAAAGTATCAAACGCTGCAAATAAATCCCTAAATCACAATCGTATTGATCATTAATTAAAACCGATTATGTTTCATCCTTATATATAAACAATAAAAGATGAGGAAGCTTAAAGAGAAATTAAGATACGAGTTTGGAAGCTATACACCGAAAATAAAAAAGAAGAAAAGTAAAGCAATAGATTGATAATCGAATAGCATAGACTGTAAACGAAATGACTCAAAACTTGCCATGTAGACTCCCACATATAAATCATATCAACAATCCCGTGGACGTTGTGAAAAAATAATGCATGTCAGTAAATAATTTTATATAAACCCCTAGCCTTTTTAATTCATTGTTGAATTAAAAAGAAATCAGTCTCTCTATTAAAAGAGGTTTCAATACTTGGTATATAATATCATATTTTTGGTTAAAGATCCTTTTTTTTTTCTTTTTTTTTTGGTTAAAGAACTTGGTATAATGTAATTTCTAACAAGATATCAATCTTCGTCCGGAATCTAAAACTATTATTTAATTTGAGATATTTGAATCCCTGTAAACTTTTTCTAACAGATAAAGGCAGAAAGATTCACTATTAAACAACATTAAATTTTTGGAAAAAAAAACCCGTAATTTTACAGAATTCATCTATAAAAGAAGTTTCAACTTGATACAATATAATATAACTTTTTGTGTCAAAGAACTTGGTATCAATCTGCGTCCCGAATCCTAATATATCTATGCTTCTATGCTTTAACAAAAAAAAGCATCCAAAACTAATTTATAATTTGAGATATTTGAATCTTTGTAAACATTTTAAAACAGACAAATTAAAGGCTGAAAGAGTCATTACTAAACAATATTAAATTCTTGGAAAAATCCTAAATCTTATTTAATTCCACGTGCAAGTAATCATAAAACAAACGGTAGAAATAAAATATTTAGACAACAAAATTTCTCACTTTTAGACTTTTAGTGGTTTGTGCAGTGTTTTTAGGTTACATGTTCTTGACATTTAAAAAAAAAAAAAAAAAAAAAAGACAGCAAAATTTTATCATTGATTAGTAAAATTTTCTTACGATCACCTATTAGAAATCGATATTTTCCAATATAATTTTGGTAACTTATATTGTAATACTTGAAACTGAATACATGTCTTTTTCCTGGTAATACTTAAAATTTTATTATGTCTAGTTTAACAATATGACAGAAAAGTTTTATCAAAAACAAAACAATATTGTTGAACATTATAGACAGGGATGTGATATCCAAAAATTGCTTTAACACAAATATGTGGGTTCTATATATATATATATATTAAATTTCAGATAAAAATGAAGACATGGCAAATAGTTTTTTTCTTTTTTTTTTCTTTCTACTCCCTCCGTTTCGTTTTAGTTGTCGTTTTAGGACTTAAATTTTGTTTCGTAATAGTTGTCGTTTTAGGTTTTCAATGCAAATGTTTGGTAAAAATTCCAGTATTATCCCTATTGTTTTAATGTTTTGGCCAATGAAATTTTTTATAAAATATATTAATAAAGGGTAAAACAGAAAATTTAATGCTTTTCTTAATTTGTGTGAGAAAACCTTAAACGACAACTAAAACGAAACGGAGGGAGTATTTGATAGACTTAATTAGATTTCCTTCAGGTCTACGTGTGAATTCATACAGAAATGATGTACTTATTTAGTGGGAACAATATGAAATAAAATTATTAATTATAGAGCGATGGTCTTTACAACAGAGTTCAGATATTGAATTTGATGATAATTTTTTTTTTTTACATCAATTTGATGCTAACTATATGTATATAAATATGCATGTCATGTGGTCTGTATAAGTAATATTTTTTCGTGTTTAAACTGTAAAGAATGACCAACGTTGTGTTGGTCCAGTGGTAAATCTCCTAGGTGAAGGTACTGGGTTTGACGCCCGTTGGGAGGGATCTCTTCTCCGAAGGAGATGAATTTAACCTGGTGTGAGTTCTGCCTCTGGGAGATATAGGGCCTTCGGGCTTGAACTTCCAGATATTCAAAAAAAAAAAAAAAAAACTGAATTGTAAGTATAACTATTCTAATTTTTGGAAATGAAAGGATTTTTTACCTGTATTTGCTGTCACAAAAAAAAAAAAAAAAAAAAAGGAAAGGAAAGGATCTGGTAGACCGTCAAACCGTCCATGACCTTTGACGGAATGATTAACAAAATTTGATTCCATGTTTGTGATAATTACACGTATCATAATTTTCCTAAGGAAAATATCAAAACTTAAACTTTATATTAAATAGAATAAACTAAATACAAGTGGATAATTCCAGAACAAAATTTCACTGAAAAGCTCTTGTTAAAAGCATGTTGGTTCCTAATATCTATATAAAGAGCATTATTGGCTTTCTTTCCCAAAACAAACTAAAGATAACACACTAAAACAAAACACCTTTCTTCTCTCCTTTCTGCTTCGATGGCAATGGCTCAAAAGGATAGGAATAGATGGGTCGCTCAAAAGGGTTTTGAAATGATCGATAAGCGCCTTCCTAATCGATTCTCACCTGAGACAACCATAAAAGAACCGGTTTTTTCTCACCTGACGGAACCTATTCACTTCTTTGGTGGTGACCGTCCTTTTGTTGGAAATCCCAACCCGTTTGAGAGGCCTAAAGGACGGCGTATTACCTGCGACGAGGCGGTCAGACTCTATGGAGGAGTGCTTATAAAGGAATTTCGTAAATAATTAAGCGGTGTAAACCTCAAGTTATGTTGAAGATGCATGGTGAGTTTGTAAATAAGTGTGATAAGTTTTATTTCTGCTTTCGGAAAAAGTGCAGACCAACACATATGCTAAAGCTTGTTGTAACGGTTTTGACTTAGAATAAGCTTTAGATCATAACCAAGTGTTTGTGTTTGTTATGTATCTAGCTAGAAGTACTATATGTTGAAGATTACGTAATGTAAAATGTTATGGTGCTATGTAAACATTTGTGTCTTGGACTCTTTGTAAACATAAATAAGCATGTATTCAAAGACGGCCGTGAAAAAAAAAAAAAAAAAAAGCATGTATTCAAACTTCAAAGACTTTAATAAGCATGTCATATATGCAACAAGCGGAGCCTAATATTTTAGAGACGCCGGGCAGACCAAAAAATATTTGACTCTTTTTAAAGTAATTTCTAAAAAAACGTTTTTATATTAACTAAATTTTATTATTATTTGATATTCTATGACTTTTTCATAAAATATTTTGAAGTAATTAATGTAAAAAAAATATAATGATAGGAGTTTTAGTAATTTGATAAAAACCAATAGTAATAACTAATAACTGATTGACAAAAAAAAATAACTAATAACTGATAGAAAACAGGGAATGAAAGCAAACTTTTAATTTGATGCTGGAAATAATAATATTTTAAATGTATTATGGAACCTCAAATGTAGTGAATAATTATTTTTCCAATTGGTTTAGCAGATTAAGAAACCGGTTTCTATTTCTTTTTTAAAAAGAATGTAAAATTTTATTCGATCAAAAACCTTTGTTACATAATATGAATCTTTAAGATTGAAATATATACAAGACTCTGAAAAACACAGCATTGGGAGCTAAAACAAAGTAGATCCTATCATAAGCAACCACTTGCGTGAGCCAAACCAGAGTATCAAGGCCATCAACCATATACGTCGAGCCTAGTTTCTTGAGGAAGTAAAGTCGTTTCCGACTATTCTATCAATAGCCCAGATGAAGCAGAAGGATAATTCACAATATATCCACATGTCTTCTTCAGTTTCTATCAGGCCATATGATGTGGATAGTTGTGTGATGATAACATCGTATTTTTGTCCATTTTAGCTAGTTTTTTTTTAATGTTTTCAAACGTTGTTTATCACATTTTGTATGCTTTAGAGGATAAAAAGCATAAATGAAGGAAAATGAGCTTTCAAGACAGTTTCGGACCATTGGAAGTTTGACATCTGTTGAAGGCCTTCCCGAACAACAAATGATGCGTTTTTGGAGTCTACGTAAAGCTGGAAGAGTCAGGATCTGTCTCTAAGTGAAATAGACCCAAACCGACAATCCAAACGTTTTTATGCCCGATTGAAGTGTATCAGATGTAGAGAGAGAAAAGGGGAAAGTTTGTTATATTTCTCATTAAAGTGTAAATGTGTATACAACTCTGTTTATATACTAAATAAGATTACAAAGTATATGTACAAGTATACTCTATATCGTAATACCCCTCCCTCAAGTCGAATTCTTCAAGCGGGAAGAAAGAGACTTGAAAATGCATATCTTGACATGAGAAGCTTGAATGTCTTGGGAGGTAGAGCTTTTGTAAACAAGTCAGCTAACTGGTTGTCTGTAGTAACATGCATAAGATTCAGAAAACCAGCCCTCAGTTTATCACGTACAATGTGACAATCAATCTCAATATGCTTTGTGCGTTCGTGAAAAACTGAATTGGAGGCTATGTGAATTGCTGCAGTACTATCACAGTATATAGTTGCAGGACCAGTGATCTTTACATGCAGATCCTTCAACAGTTTGCTTAGCCACAGTAATTCACAAGTTGTATCAGCCAAAGCTCTATATTCTGACTCAGCACTGCTTCTTGATGCAGTCTGTTGCTTCTTTGCTTTCCATGAAATCAGAGAATCTCCTAGAAACACACAGAAACCCGTCGTAGATCGTCTTGTATCTTGACATGTTCCCCAGTCTGCATCTGAAAAAGCTTTTAAACGTATTTCAGATTGAGCAGAATAAAACAATCCACGACCCGGATCTCCTTTCAAATATCTGACCACACGATGAGCAGCTTCAAGATGTTGAGTCCTAGGCTGTGCCAAGAATTGACTTAGCTTATGAACTGCATAAGTAATATCTGCTCTAGTGATGGTTAGATATAAAAGTTTCCCTATTAAAGCCCTATAGACCGTTGCATCTGGTAGAATATCCCCACTCTCTGCATGTAATTGAACAACAGAATCCATTGGTGTTGCAACAGGTTTACAGCCAAGGAAACCTACACTTTCCAACAAATCCAAAGTGTATTTTCTCTGACAAATGGAGATTCCTGCTTTGTTTCTGGCTATCTCAAGCCCAAGAAAATATTTCACCTGACCAAGATCTTTCAGTTTAAAGGCTGCAGCAAGAGTGGCTTTCAATCTGGAAACAGCATCATCATTGTTACTAGCAATGACTATGTCATCAACATAGACCAATAAAGCAATGAAGATACCATTATTGTATTTAACAAACAGAGTGTGTTCAGATTCCGATTGAATAAAACCATCTCGTAGCAAAACTTCTGAAAACTTCTTGTACCATTGCCTTGATGCCTGCTTCAGGCCATATAAGGACTTATGGAGCTTCCAAACAGCATTAGGTGGTAAAGTTTCTCCCTGAGGAGGTGTATAACCAGGAGGCAAGTCCATGTAGATTTCTTCCTCTAAATCTCCATGTAAGAATGCATTAGTTACATCCATTTGTGTAAGAGACCAACCATGTTTAGCAGCCAAATCCAATAACAATTTTACTGTCACAAGTTTTGCCACTGGTGAAAAAGTATCAATATAATCAACACCTTCTTGTTGGGTGTATCCTTTAGCCACTAAACGAGCTCTATAGCGATCAACAGTCCCATCTGCATTGTGTTTTATCCTGTATACCCATCTGCAGCCAATCGGCTGTTTTCCTTCTGGCAGAGAAACCACTGAAAAAGTTCCAGTATTAACACATGTCTGGAGTTCTTCATTCATAGGAGCATGCCATTTTTCAGATTTTATAGCTTCCCCAAAATTCTTTGGTTCTGACTCAGAAGAAATATTGAGGATGAATTGCTGATAATGCTCATTCAGTCTTGAGTAATCCAATACAGATTGCAGAGGATGAGAAGTATTACCACTGTCATTTGGAATTTGATGGACCAAATTACAGTGATAATCATTCAAATACGATGGAGCACGAGTGTTTCTCTTAGGCCTGTTTGCATCAACAGGAATAGTGTTCCCAGATTCTACTGAGGAATTACTGTCATCAGATAAGACTGGAGAATTGGAAGGAAAAGATTGAGGAATAGGAGAAGTATCAGGAATAGGAAGAGGAAGAATGGTGGAAGTGAAAAGATCAAGAGTCGATGATGATAGTTCCAGAGACTGAAATGGATAAATGTCTTCATGGAAAATGACATTTCGAGAGATGGAAATAGAATGAGTCTCTAAGTTTAAGACTTTATATCCCTTATAACCCGATGGATACCCAAGAAAGACAGAAGCTTCAGCTCTTGGAGTAAATTTGTGTCGATCCTTAGGATAGGTGGACACATAACAGAGGCAGCCAAAGGTTTTAAGATTTGAGTAAAGAGGTTTCTTTTTGAGTAAAATTTCAAAAGGAGTTTTGTTGTTGAGTAAAGGAGATGGAGTTCTGTTAATAAGGTAAACAGAAGTCTTAATACAGTCACTCCAATACTGTAAGGGAACATTAGACTGAAAAAGGAGAGCTCTAGCCACATTAAGAATGTGTTGATGTTTTCTTTCAACAACAGAGTTTTGTTGTGGGGTATCAACACAAGAGAAATAGTGAATAATCCCTTTTGATTGAAGAAGAGTAGTAAAAGAAAGCTCTGGAGCATTATCTGAACGAATAGCTTTGATTTTATTTGAATATTGAGTTTCTACAGTATTGATGAAAGTAGGAAAGACTGTTAAGACATCACTCTTGGACTTTAAGAGATAAACCCAAGTAACCCGACTACAGTCATCTACAAGAGTAAGAAAATATCTAAAACCCTCTGTAGAAACAACAGAAAAGGGACCCCAAACATCCAAATGTATAAGATCAAAAGGATTCTTTGAGACATTATTAGAAGAAGGAAAAGATAGACGCCTCTGTTTTGCGAGATGACAGGTCTTGCAATGAGACCAGTCTTTAAGCTTTGTTTTTGGAAGAGAGAGATCTTCAGAAAGAACTTGAATCTTAGAAAAAGATGGATGACCCAGTCTTGAATGCCAAAGAGAACTGGAGTCAGAAGGACTGAGATTGCAAATGACAGAAGTAGAAGCTTGAGACTGAGATGATTGAGGTTCTAAATCCAGAAAATAGAGTTTATTCTGTAGACGACCTCTACCAATCATCAAGCCCTGAGTAAACTCCTGAATTGTGCAAAAGGAAGGGAAAAAATTAACTGAATATGCACAATCTTGAAGAAGGGAGCTCACACTAATGAGATTTAAATGGAAAGAAGGAATGAAAAGCACATTTTTAAGAAGAAGCTTATCTGACAACTTAACAGTACCAGATTGTGTTATAGCAATCTTAGTATTGTTAGGTAATTTGACAGTAGTTTCAGAGACACTATTAATGTCAGCAAATAGACTTAAGTTGCAACAAACATGCGTAGTCGCACCAGAGTCAATGATCCAAGCAGTGAAATTAAGGCATGGTTCCTCTAAGGTTGTGTAAAGGAAATTACCTGCAGAGGTAGACGCATAAGTAACACCAGGAGTCTCAGTGATGCTTGGCATTTGACAATTGGCTTTAGTGTTTAGTTGAGAAGCCAATTGTTCAATCTGTTCTGTAGTCAGCTGAGCCAGAGCATTTGAAACCTGATGGAAATGGTCTTGAACTGCAGGAGAAGTAGTGATGACATTACCAACCAAATTCTCTCTTGGACCTTTGTGACTCTGCATCCGTGCATTAGGAACATGAAACTACTGATTGTATTGTGGTGGTTGTGGAATATACTGTTGTTGTGGAAACTGAACAGGAGGACGAGATTGAAACTGTTTCGGAGCAAACTGACTTTGCTGACTGCCATAAGGCTGATTTGGAGGCTTGTACCCGGGAGGATAACCGTGGAGCTTGTAACATTTGTTAACAATGTGACCTTGGAGACCACAGTAGGTGCATATAGGACGTTGCTTAGGTTTATATCCTCCTGAGACTGCTCCAACAACTTCATTTTGACTTGAGTAATTATCAGACATTTGAAAACTTGAATCATAAGAAGGGTGAACATTCTGTGAACTCACTTGAAAAACAACTGCGTCTGCTTGAGGTGTTTGCTTAATCACTTTCTGATCTTCATGTTGAATCACCATGTTCAAAGTCTTCTCTAAATCTGGTAACGGATCAAGCATGATAATAGACTCTTTGACATGTTCATAAGAATCATTGAGTCCAAAAAGAAACTTAATCACAAAGTTTCTCTCAAAAAGATCCATCCATTTTCTGTCCACTTCACATTCACAACCATTACATTGACACACAGGGAAATCTTGTGCACTCTTCACCTCTTCCCAAATTGTAACCAGCTTTGTGTAAAAAGTGTTAACATCCATTGAACCTTGACGAAGATTAGCAAGCTTCTGTTCAACACGATACAATCTAGGAACATTGTTTTGCTTAAATCGTTTCAACAGTTTTTGCCAAATTCCATGAGCCGTTTTCACATACAACACACTTTGGCCAATAGTCTTAGAAACTGAATTCATAAGCCAAGATCGTACCACATCATTGACTCTGGACCATGTCGCTGCATCGCGATGACCATCATCTGGTTTCGGAAGACTTCCGTCAACAAAACAAAGTTTATTACGGCCATTTAACGCCATGAGCATAGATTGGTGCCACGATCCAAAGTCTCCAGCACCGGTGAGACGATCTGAGACTAACATCAAGCCGGAATGATCATTATTAGTAAGATAATACGGATTGTCATAAGAATCTCTGTTCGTAGTCGCCATTGACGTAACAGATAAGAAATCGCGAAAGAAATCAAGAACGAAGATGAAGATCGAGCTTAAACAACTCAAAATCAAAGAAACGAAGATCAATTCGAGACAATCGAAGGTCGAATTGAAGAAAAACGAGCTCAAATCATGAAGATCGAAGCAAGAAACGAAGAATTTGAATGAGAAATGTGATGCGGAAGGAGAGATAAAGCTCTGATACCATATCAGATGTAGAGAGAGAAAAGGGGAAAGTTTGTTATATTTCTCATTAAAGTGTAAATGTGTATACAACTCTGTTTATATACTAAATAAGATTACAAAGTATATGTACAAGTATACTCTATATCGTAATAAAGTGATCCCTGTCCAGCCGCACTCGAGAAGAAACCAACCGTGGCGAAAGCCTAGACGCCGTGGCCTGCGAGCATCCGTCCGTGGCCAAGAGCCTCATTGCCGTGCCTCCACATCCTGGTGCCACGGCCAAGCTCCAATATGCCTTCATTTAACTAAAACGACGTGTTCTTTTTTACGTTACTTTTATTTTCAAGGGATAAGATCTTACATCTTTGTATTCGTTATCGAGAAGTAATCTCTAAACCCTCTTGTCTACTTTCTTCATATTGTATACAATTCTTTTCTTTTCTTTGATGTTTTCCTTAGCCATGATTGACTAGTTTTCTAGTTTCTGTTTCTGTTGGCGTCACTAGAAGAAAACATTACAATTTTCGACAACGCGTTTCTAACGAAATAAATTGAATATAGTTTATGATTATTTTTTTTTTGACAGACTTTGATATAGTTTTTGAAATGTTTTGCTTCAGGTAGAACCATGCGTCAGTTCATATAGAAGAACAGTATGAAAGAAAACTATTAATTATAGAGCGAATAATGGTCATTTAAAATTGAGTTCAAATAGTATATTTGATGCTAAGTAATATATATATGATAAATTTAATCATGTGATATGCATGTTAAATCTGTAAAATATAAGTAATCTAATATATGGGAAGGAAAGGAAAGGATAGGGCAGACCGTCAAACCGTCCATGGCCTTGGAAGGATATACATTATTGAGGGAATAATGATTATTTAAATTCTTTGATACGAATGATTATTTAAATTTTGATTCCATCTTTGTGATGATTACACGTATGGGTATTTTTCATAATTAGGAATATATCAGAACTTACAACTTCATATTAAATGTACTGGATATTAGTAAAAGAAAACGAGTGTTCATAAGAAAATGCAAGTGGATAGAAAAGTAACGAAATGCTCTTGTTAAAAGAATATGTTGGTTCCTTTAGAAGATTTTTCTATATAAAGGGTACGTATTGGCTTCCTTTTCAAAATCAAACTAAAACCAAAAGAAACAAAGACAATACACTAAAACAAAAGACCTTTCTTCTCTTCTTTGTGCTTCACCAATGGCTCAAAAGGATAGGAATACAAGGATCGCTCAAAAGGCTTTTGAAATGGTCGATCAGGTGTATGGTAAGTCCCCAAAATTAACATCTAAACCATATGATCCTAAAGACGAGTTCCCTTCTCGTTTTAGCCAAAGTGCTTACAAATATGGTGGTCCACAAATCTATACCGTAAGAGAGGCGACTAGTACTTATAGTTATGGTCGAGCTATTTATATGTACTCACCTGAGTCAACTATAAAAGAACCTGTTGCTTCTCATCCCACAGAACATATTCAATACTATGGTGGTGCCCGTCCTTTAGTTGGCAATCCCAACAGGTTTGAGAGGCCAAAAGGACGGGTTATTAACTGCGACGAGGCGGTCCAACTCTATGGAGGGGTGCTTATAAAGGAATTTCGTAAGTAAGCGGTGAAAACCTCAAGTAATTATGTTGAAGATGCATGGTGAGTTTGTAAGTAAGTGTGATAATTTTTGTTTCTGCTTGCGAAAAAAGTTCAGACCAACACATATGCTAAAGCTTGTTGCAACAGTTTTGATTTAGAATAAGCTTTAGAGCACAACCAAGTGTGCGTGTCTGTTATCTATCTAGAAGTACTTTATGTTGAAGCTTATGTAATGTAAAATGTTACGGTGCTATGTAAACATGTGTGTCTTGACTTTTTGTAACATAAATTAAAAGCATGTATTAAAAAAACATAAATAAGCATGTCATATTTTAGAGACGCCAAGCAGACCAAAAATAGCCTGTTCCCTTCAGAGCGGCTCTGTATATGGATCATGTGTATAGAAGTTCTAATCTTATGGGAATTATGAAATGATTTATATATATATAACTAGAGAGAAACCCACGCGATGCGTGGGATACTGATTAAAAATGTTGCAAAGTAAATAATACAATAATAGGTTTTGATGTCCTTCCAAATAATTATACATGAATTTGTTTAACACTTTAGTTATTCTTTGTTATCAGTTTAAGAATTTTGTTATAAAGAAAGGTAAAGTACGTATAGAGTAGCTAAAAATATAAAGTATTGGCATATACATTATGAAATTTATTTTGAATGTAAAAATTAGTATGTAATAAAACTTTTTCTAGAAGGAAAAATGTCAACAAAGAATAAAAAGCAGACGTTTTTTGGAAAAAAATACCCATCTTCCAACAAAAAATCAGTGATCATAATCTCAAATATTAGATTTTATCCTTCAACTCTATCATCATCTTCTTTTTTTTTTTCTATAACAAAAGTGTAGATAAGGGTTTCGCCATTAATTCTAATTTAAAAATGAGCTCGTCATGAAGTTTTTAACTTCTTTTTCAAGACATGTGGTCCTTTTTCTTTGTCTTTAAATGCTCAAAACAAAATCCTTTATTTTTTCTTTGTTTTTCTTTTTCATCATTCAAAGTTATAAGAAAAATTAAAATAGTTTAGAAATAGATAAGATGCTATAGTTTCAAATAAATAATTACGAAGCACTTTATAATAAATAATTTTCAAGACCTTATTATTAGATTTTATTTTTGAAAATGCACTTTTTGGTGTGCCATTTTTAAAAAATGTCCCCTTCTTTTGTGTATTTTCAAAAATACGTCTCATTAAACCTGAAAAGGTTTATGAGGTACTTCTGGATGGTAAGTATTACTCAAGCCTCGATCTAAGTATTTATACGGTTTTATAACGTATTTATAAAAACATATTTATAAGATTTTATAAGATATGTATTAGATTTTATAAGGTATTTATAAGTTTTAATCATGTATTTATACATATAAATGTAGTTTTGTATGCTTTTATAACGTTACATACGTACTTAGGTAAATCTTAGATTTTTAGGGAAATTTTAAAAAGGTTTTACGTAGGTTGTATTTTTGAAAAGAGGTATTGGAAAAAAGCATTTCTAACAATTCCTCAATTTACAATGTCATTTTAATAATTTTATTACATTTTGCTTCTCGAATTGTATTCATTTATGTAATGATTTATAGTAAACTTAAATATGAAATAAAATTTTAAAATAAACTATTATAAGATAATTTGCTGTTAATTGTTTAATATAAATTTGTGGGAAATAAGGTAAAATGTAGAAAAAGACAACATTAAAAGAATACTTGATTTAGTGCTATATGCGTTATAGAACATCGATGAATTTTGAGAATGAATTTTAAGTTTTTAAGTAAAATCTTTTAAGAAAATAGAATGGCAAAACAAATATAACTTAAAATTAAGTTTTTAGTTTTAAAAAATCAATCCGCAATATACCGCGGGGTAAAAATTTTAGATACAAAATAATATCAAATTATTATAATAGTCCATGATTATAAATGGTTGCCAATATTAACACTACATCACTTCTACACCTACAAATCTTCTAAGTACATCAATACAAATTAACACATTTAAGTAAAAAAATACAACAACTCAAAAACAATATTCAGATATTTCAACTATATTAATTATAATATAAATAAGTAAATGGGAAATAATTATTTTGTAGTATGAATTTAAAAATCTAATAAATTATAAATTATTATATAAAATACAGAAAATACAATTTTGCTCTGCGGTGTACCGCGGGTTAAATCCTAATTCATTTGGTATTTGTGATTTTCCCACGATAAAATAGATAAAAAGTAAATATCACAGCTTTGAGAAATTTATTTTATATCTTACCAGACCTGGCTCAATAAATTTTAATGAATCAATGTGTCATTTTTTACTATTCATATTATGAAAACATGAACAAAACAAATGCACAAAATAAGTATTAGTCGTCACTAACACCAATCTACGAAAATAAATCATGTTTTAGCTAATCAACACGAAACTAAGAAATGCATTGTACCAATTGGATATAATGTTACTTTTTGCTAGATCATATTTTAAACATATTTAAAAGTAAACAATACTTAAATGAGATCTTATGTAATATGACAAGGTTTTTTTGAAGTAGCTCTATTATCATGCCATTTGGCATCCTATGCATCTGTATGTGTCCCTCTTCAATTAATGGTAATTACTACCATTTTGAAAACTACCATTTTTCTATTTCTAATGAAAATTACAAATTTTTATATGTAAAATGACAATTTCGTCTATATTTAAATTGAAAGCTGTATTTTTAGTAAAATTATAACTAAATTCGAAAATGAGAGAAAAATTCAAAATAATATTAATTATCCTTATAGTTTTTTTTGAGATAAAGATAGTTTATTTATTTTATATAACTCAAACTTTTATGAAGTTTCAAATATGAATATTTGAACTTTATAAGAATTTATAAGAAGTTTAAACATTATAAATATTTAAACTTTAAAAAATGTTTAGAGTATTTATAATATTTAAGTTCTATAAATTTTTTATAATATTTGAACTCTATAACAATTAAAAAAAAATATATATATATATATATATATATATATATATATATATATATATATAGATATATATTATGTCAACCATTTAAAGCAAAGTTATAAATTGACTCGAATTATATGTCTTTTAAATAAAACTATTATTAAAAAGAAAATAACAAAATGTTGTTTTATTTTATGGGACGGGGTTATATGATGGGACGAGTTTGGGTCGATATTAATACGGGACGATGTAGCACGGGTGAAATCCTAGAATTAAAGATAAAAATATAATGATATTATCTTAAACACTAAACAAACCAAACAATATTAACAAAACAAATATAACTTAAAATTTAAGTTTTTAGTTTTAAAAAATCAATCCGCAATATACCGCGGTGTAAAAATTTTAGATACAAAATAATATCAAATTATTATAATAGTCCATGATTATAAATGGTTGCCAATATTAACACTACATCACTTCTACAACTACAAATCTTACAAATTAACACATTTAAGTAAAAAAAATAGAACAACTCAAAAACAATATTCATATATTTCAACTATATTAATTATAATATAAATAAGTAAATGGGAAATAATTATTTTGTAGTATGAATTTAAAAACCTAATAAATTATAAATTATTATATAAAATACAGAAAATACAATTTTGCTCTGCGGTGTACCGCGGGTTAAATTCTAATTCATTTGGTATTTGTGATTTCCCACGATAAAATAGATAAAAAGTAAATATCACAGCTTTGAGGAATTTATTTTATATCTTACCAGACCCGGCTCAATAAATTTTAACGAATCAATGTGTCATTATTTACTATTCATATTATGACAACATGAACAAAACAAATGCACAAAATAAGTATTAGTCGTCACTAACGCCAATCTACGAAAATAAATCATGTTTTAGCTAATCAACACGAAAATAAGAAATGCATTGTACCAATTGGATATAATGTTACTTTTTGCTAGATCATGTTTTAAAAATATTTAAAAGTAAACAATACTTAAATGAGAACATACATATCCAAGCGCATAATTTTTTGACGATCCAACCTCAAATTCAGCAGTGTCATTTATGTTCTACAACACACTTGTTGGCTAGAATGAAGATAAGGCACATACTAAAATGAAGATGAGTGAGAGAGATGAAAATGTAAATTTTCAAATAACTAAATAAAAAAAAAGAAGTTAATTTAGAAACATAAACATTGCTTGAGCTGAAGTAGAGTGCTTCTTGTAGAGCATTGAAGAATGTTCCAGCCGTTAAAAGAACAACACACCAAGTGTCTCGATTTTATGGAATTGATTAAATAAGAGATTTGTAACATGAAAACGTAATGTGAAGAAGAAACGTAACGTAAAGAAATATAATGCTACGGTTTTCATAAATTAGATAGAGTAACGTAAGGTAAAAAGGGATACTTAATTATAATGTCTAGAAAGATATGCTTAGAGAAGAGAAGAAACTATATTTTAATATATTAAATTACTAAAATGGCTTTAGTGAAATTCAATATTAATTAAAAAGAATTTATACGTAAAACAGAAAATCTATTAATTTAGTTTGAAATTAATATTTGAAATAACTAACAATTTTAATAATTCTTATCTTAAATATTTCTTTTAAACAATCTAAAATAATTGTGAATTCACCTATCAAGTGAATCATGTTCCTACATTTGATTAAAATTTAATAGTTCATCATTACTTTTAAAATCTCTTGACTAAAATTACCTTTGATTGGATTTCCATTAGTTTTTGGTACTCCATCTCTAATCGATAACACATGTAAATAAAACAAAGAATATTATGTTAGAGCTATAAGCCGTACGTTGATTTAATCAATGATACATATAAGATTACATCATTCTACCAATGTTAAGTCGTAATCTACGTTAACCTTGAAATTGGAGCAGACTTTGGAGTTGAAGAATTTGATTGTTACGTTGAGATTTTTTTGTTTATACAATATTAAGGGATAGACTTTATAGACTTTTTAATGTTTTTAGATATTATTTTATTAAATTTAATATATAAAATAAATAAACTATCTTTATCTCAAAAAAAAATTATAAGGATAATTAATATTTTCTCTTAATTTGCGAATTTAGTTATAATTTTACTAAAAATACAGCTTTCAATTTAAAGATAGACAAAATTGTCATTTTACATATAAAAATTTGTAATTTTCATTAGAAATAGAAAAATGGTAGTTTTCAAAATCACCTATTTATTTTCCACAATATAATTACAAATTAATCACCACTAATTACCATTAATTGGAGAGGGACACATGTCAGATGCATAGGATGCCAAATGGCATGATAATAGAGCTTTTTCAAAAAAACCTTGTCATATTATATAAGATCATGAAAACATATTACAAGATATAAGTTAATCATGTGTTTTCATCTCACATTATTTTTAGTTTGTTTTAACATAACTATAAGATCTTAAATATCTTAGAATTAGATAAGAACTAGTTATTAATGAATATGAATATGAATATAAATGATTAGAAAAGAAGACATGTGTTAATGATTTATTTGGTATAGTTACTTTACAAAAATGTTGTTCAACTCTCTATCTCTTTTTTTTTTTTTTTGTGTGCCCTTGTTCTCTCTTTTCTTTCCATTTTTTCATTATATCTTAAGTTTACAGAGAGAAAACAAAAAAGAAGTCCCATGTGATAGAGAATTAGCAAACACAAATTTTAAAGATATATTCTATACATTCAATTTTGTGCTTAATCACCTCCAATGGTATAAAAAGATTATGTATTTCCCCGCAAGTATAGCAAAAACCACTGGAAACAAATATCAAATATTTTGGGATTTCTGAGAAACTAATTACTGCCTCAAGTTTTTTAACGGTAAATAACTAACTTTCCCTCCCTTCTTCCACATATAAGTATGACTTCAAAACCAACTCACATTTAGCAATTGATATTCTAAAAAATCCCAAAACATTCCCGGAAGAAAAAATAATGTGGAATGGATGGAATTATTCAAGCAAGATGAAGAAATATGTCGCCTTAGGCGTCACCGCTCTCATTATGGCAATGGTCATTTGTGTAGAGGCCAACGATGGCAGCAGCCCGAGTAGAAAAACGGAAGAGATTCACCGTGAAAGCAAGCTGATGATAACAAAGACGGCGGTGACTATTATATGTTCCTCCACCGATTACAAACAAGATTGCACCACGAGTCTCGCAACAGTGAGGTCGCCGGATCCCCGAAATCTAATAAGATCTGCTTTCGATCTCGCTATCGTCTCGATTAGAAGTGGAATTGACAGGGGGATGATTGATCTAAAAAGTAGAGCGGATGCGGATGTGCACACAAGGAACGCGCTGAATACTTGTCGAGAGCTTATGGATGATGCAATTGATGATCTTCGAAAAACGAGAGATAAATTTAGGGGATTTTTGTTTACTAGATTGTCAGACTTTGTTGAGGATCTTTGTGTGTGGCTCAGTGGATCAATCACATACCAACAGACGTGCATCGACGGATTTGAAGGGATCGATAGCGAAGCGGCCATGATGATGGAGAGAGTCATGAGGAAGGGGCAGCGTCTCACTAGCAATGGATTAGCGATTGCCGCAAATCTCGATAAGTTATTGAAGGCTTTCCGTATTCCATTTCCATTTCTCAGGGTACATTCACGTCACACTCTATCAAATAACCTATATTTCAGTATCATTCTTAGTTCAATGGTTTTAAGTTACATTTTAGTTTTAACAAATAAAAAACTAGGGTTAGGTTCCATAATTTCTTATAGTTACCGTTTTTTTTAACTTTCTATAAACTAATTTTCCTACGTATGAATAATCCACACTGGATTGTATGTCTTTAACAGTCAAGAAGAGACAGACTCGGCATTTTAGGTTCGGGTTCTTCACGAGACCAATCGTTGGGTTCTTCCCAAGATCCCCCTCCAAATGTGGATTCTTCTGATAATTCTCCTAAAACAATGGAGTCCTCGGAGAATCGACCATTGGATTCCTCAGAGAATCGGCCGTCGGATTCTTCAAATAATAGACCGTTGGATTCTTCCGAAAATCGACCAAAGGAATCTTCCGAAAATTCTCCTCAAAAATTGACATCTTCCGAGAATCAACCACTAGATTCTTCCGATAAACTTCCTCAAAAGTCGACTTCTTCCGAGAACCAACCATTGGATTCTTCCGAGAGTACTCCTCAAAAATCAACTTCTACTGAGAATCGGCCGTTTGATCCTCCTCAAAATTCGGATTCTTCCATAATTCGACCGTTGGATCCTCTTCGAAAATTAAATCCCCTTAATAAATTGGATTCTGTAAAGGATCGACATTTATCGGAGGAAGGAGAGTTCCCGCCATGGGTAACACGGCATTCGCGGAGGCTTCTTGCACGTGGACCTAGAAATAATGGAATCAGAGCGGATGTTGTGGTTGCAAAAGACGGCAGTGGTAAGTGCAAGACTATCGCACAAGCATTGGCAATGGTACCAATGAAGAACACAAAAAAGTTTGTAATTCACATAAAGCAAGGTGTTTACAAGGAGAAAGTAGAGGTAACCAAAAAAATGCTTCACGTTATGTTCGTTGGAGACGGACCAACAAAGACGATTATCACTGGAGACATTGCATTCTTACCAAACCAAGTCGGCACCTATCGCACTGCCTCCGTTGGTAAATTATATATAACATTTTACATATGGTTTAATATAATTTATGCATGTATTATTGATCTAGTCTAAACTGTCAAGTTTCTTAAAATGGTTTATAGAATTTCATCTCAAAAATAATCTGCAATATGTAGATTAATAAGTCGATTTGTAACATTTTTAAAATTGTTTACTATAATTTTCGTAATATTTAACTAGTTTTTTTTTTTAACGTAAAATTCTAATACATATTTGTTGTTGTTGTTTGAAGCGGTGAATGGGGACTATTTCATGGCAAAGGACATAGGGTTCGAGAACACGGCAGGAGCCGCACGCCATCAAGCAGTCGCACTACGAGTTTCAGCCGATTTTGCTGTGTTCTTCAACTGTCATATGAATGGTTACCAAGACACGCTTTACGTCCACACTCATCGTCAATTCTACCGTAACTGCCGCGTCTCAGGCACCATTGATTTCGTCTTCGGTGATGCCAAGGCCGTTTTTCAGAACTGCGAATTTGTTATCCGCCGTCCCATGGAACACCAACAGTGCATCGTCACAGCACAAGGACGAAAAGACCGGCGTGAGACAACTGGGATTGTTATCCACAATAGCCGTATAACCGGTGATGCATCATATCTTCCCGTCAAAGCCAAGTAATCATAATAATTACTATAAACTTTAGTAAAGTACTAGCCAAATATCACTTTAGTTAAAGCTCATTATATATATGAACCTCTATATATACAGGAACAGAGCATTTTTGGGACGGCCATGGAAAGAGTTTTCGAGAACAATCATAATGAACACAGAGATTGATGATGTGATAGACCCAGAAGGTTGGTTAAAGTGGAACGAGACGTTCGCGCTCAACACGTTGTTCTACACTGAGTACCGCAATAGAGGTCGTGGTTCGGGTCAGGGTCGTCGGGTTAGGTGGAGAGGTATCAAGCGGATCTCTGATAGAGTCGCAAGGGAGTTTGCTCCAGGGAATTTCCTACGTGGCAACACGTGGATACCACAGACGCGTATACCTTACAATGCTAACTGATCATATACTTGTCTCTCTATCGTCCAAGGTGTTTGTATTTAACTGTGTATATAAATCCGGAGGGAAGAAAAAAAAAAGAGGATTTGTATAGTGTTTTTTTTTTTTTGAGGGAAAATTTATAGTATAGATATTTGAAAATGTTTTTCCTATAAGTAATGTGACATATATTTGTAGTTTTTTAGCATGTGAGGCCATGAATCATGGGATAAAACTGTGTGAATCTTTGAATCGAAGGTACTCCTAGCCAGTAAACTTAATAACGTAAATTAAGTTTTTTCAAAATCAGAAACATTGATTCTTTCTTTCAAAGAAACCGTTTCAGTAAATTTTAATGATCAAATTTTCTATATATATTGAGCTAGATATACCCACAAGTATATTGACAAATGGGGTTTCCTATATTCAAGTTCCAATATATATATATATGCTACAGAAGAATAGGTACATGACTCAGGAGATTTATAAATAAAAAAGTAAACACACATTTTTTATTGATATTTAGTTTTTAATTACAAATATAATTTTATGTTTACATGTTCTGTGGACGCACTACCATTGAGGCGAAGCAACCTGTCAACGATGAGTTTGCTTCAGATCCACTCCAGGTAAATCACTAGCAATCTGAATCTCAGGATATATCATCATGTAATTCTTGGAACTTCTTTTGCAAACATTGTAGAGAACATATTAATTTTCCATAAAACTTTAAGATGGAAGAGAATTGACAGCGAGACTCACAACAGCAACAAACTGGTCGATTTATATGATTATTAGGAATCATATAAGTTTGGAATGACTCATCCTTACCTTTCGGATACATCCATCGGAAGTCTCCGAGCGTACATTTGATATGAAAAGTAATGCCACAATCATCACATGAATAAAACCATTTCCTTGCGTTTAGTTCTTCCTCGCATATCTCGCACCAATACTGCTCACTTGTTTTTTCTCCGTAACATAGAGACAGAAAATGATCTTTATCATTTTTGTGTTTAACCATCTTTGGCAAAGTAGAACATTTAATGTCTAAAATAAATTCACACTCCTCGCAACTCAAAGCCATAGTAGCCTTATCTCCACAAGCAATACAAAACTTGTCTTCTGTTGAGCGGCTGATGTATAACGAATGAAGAGGATGACTTTCATGGACAAAAGGCTCAGAAATAGAACCGCATCGCACATCCAAGATAATCTTACGATCATCACTTACGTAACTAAAACCTTGAGAAACGTTTTGACAAGCATTGCAAATGCCTATACGAATATCATCTGTGATTAAAGTAGTCAACATGTTGTAGAATGGATCTATTTTCTTTTTGGGGAGATAAGCACATTCTTTATGAAGGATGAAATCATCACATTCCATGCAATTGTAGAATGAGTTAGAATATATAGGATAGTTGCATGCTTTACACCACATGCATTTATTATTAGCATCACTCTCTTCTTTAAGCTTTAAGTTATGCTCCTCGTGACTAAAATGCCTTATTTCTCCATCTTCGATCACCTCGTATGACTTTATCTCTAGATTATTTTCTGGTATGCCTTCGAGTTCAATCCCATCCCAAATGCCTAACCTTGTGACACATCTTGGATGAATGGCAAAATCAGGACACTTTGAACAAGAATAAGCCCCACATGTCCATTTTATCTCTTTATTACACACTCCACATTTCCAATCTCCAGCATCAAGGCAATGATTGTAATAAATACGGTGATCATGACGATAGATCTTTATGACGCTTGGTTTATCAATGCAATTTCGATGAATCATGAAATTACATGGAAGACATACATATGGATTTGGGTCGTCATCCATTCCACAAACATCACAAACAAAGTTCCGTTGAGGCATAAGAGTGAGTAAATGCTCATGAGCCTTAATGTTAACAATAGTGGAAGGGAGTGGATTCTTTGCACAATTGACATCCACGCTGAAATTGCAAATAGAACAATGATAAAATATGTAATGAAGTTTGTTTCTACACAAACAACATTTTCCATCGGTGTACCTTGGAACACGTGTGAGACGCTTGAGAATGTGTTTAGGATGACAAGAATACTCAATCTCTGGTGTGGATTCAGCACAATCTTTGTGAAAACTCAAATTGCATAATTTACATGCATAAGGGAACCGGTCATCATGCAGCCCACATAAATGACAAGTAAACATACTCATCTTTGGAACAAGTTGTAAAGGATGCTCATGTGTTTTTGGGTTCTCAATTGTTTCCATAACTTTTTTTTTTGCACATATCAAATCGATGGAAAAATCACATATTAAACAATAGTAATACATTTTTGGCAAGTTACCTCTACAAAGCTTGCAATCTCCAAAGGCTTCTTCATTTTCTGCAAGTATCTTGATGTCCAAAGAATGTTGTGGATGATAGAGGTTGCAAATCTTTGGATTGGATTCGGCGCACTCCTTGTGAAAGAAGAGTCCAGAACGAAAACAACGATAACCATCACTATAGTAGTCTTTACCAAGATTGCAGCCATCACATTTTAGCCCACGCGTTTGGAAGAGTGTATAAATATCATCAATTGTTTTCATAGATGGATATGATCTATGCTTTTACTATTATAGTATTTTGACTATTTTCTATAATTTTCTTATGTTTAGTTTCAGGTAATGATGAGAGCTTTCATTTTATGTATACATATACTTTTTATATAGAGTATGATATGATATTCAATCATTAGTAAGCTATTCTTTGTTTACATGAGAAGGATACTCATGGAATTATGCATATCTTGTTATTGATGTCAATAAGATTCATCAACGAATAAATTCTTGTGACTTAACTATTAATTTTGCAACCTTTTTTTTTTGTCTAAAAGGATACTCATAGAATAAATTCTTGGTTAGGATAATGGCACTGTCGCGTGAGTAATTTGTTCTGTATTGGACTATTTATTTTTATATTTAAAATTATAAAAATAGATAATTAGTTCGAAAATAGATAATGTATAAAATAGATAATTAGTTCAAAAAATTACATATAAGATATAAAAAAAGTTTATGTTGTAATTGCATGGTAAAAGATTTTGCATACTTTTAAGCTTAAAGTTTTTGTATCACAAGTTGGTTTAATTTATTACATCTAAAAGTGTATTATATATAAGAGAATGTGTGAATTTGTGAATTTTCTTATTAGTTATTATTTATGATTGATGTGGAATAAAAAAAATATTTTTAAGAAATTAAAATGCATATTAAAATATAGAGAAAATTAATAAATTATGATTTTTAATTAGCTAAGTTAAATTTTAAAAATTCATATTTTGCTATAGTATTTTGTGATATAAAAACTAAGAAAAATTCTTTTAATAACATGTGAGTAACGAAAAACTCGTAATATTTCATTCTAATATATAGAAAATAGAAGATTTAACGATTTTGATCTTAAAAAATAATTTGCAAAAGAAATGTTATCTATATCGGACATTATTCTAACAACTTTTCTTATAAAAAAAAGATTTTTAATGGCTTAAAAGCATTAAATAGTAGATGATTTTTGGTATTTAAATAAATCAGATTAGAGTTTAATACTTTTTGGTATTCAAGAACGGCTGACGAATAGAAGTGACTGAGACATAAAAAAGAAATGTTTTTACTTGCATATTAAACTCTAAACCGAGAAAAATGAACATATAAATTACAACCAATAGTACATGTCCACGTGGTAGTCACATTGAATACTACTAAGTCAACGAGTCTCTTCTTCTCCCAATTCGATATCTAACTCCCTCGCCGGCATGCTACAGACCGGTGGCGGCGACTGCGGAATTCTGATTGAAGAAGAAGAAGCACTTCTCCGATCTCGACTCAAATTCCGAGTGAAAGATATCACCCGGCTAATCGGTGACCTAAACGATTGACTCTGAGTCAAATCGTTCTCCATTTCTCCGAGATTCCTCCGTGGGATTTCAATCGCCGCCGGTTTTCTCCGGGAATCTTCAGGGTCCGGGTTACCGGAAGTCTCAGTTCCTTCGTGGCGGTTCGTGTCACCGGAAACCGGATCAGAAACCGAAATCGTGACTTCATCCGTCGTCGATTTCACTCCTCCGGCAAAAGGTTCGATTAGTGATCGACAGAGAGGACAAGAGGAATGAGAGTGAAACCACATATCGATGCAGTCAACGTGAAATGTATGCTTGCAATTGGGCAAAACCCGACCCGATTCGTTATCCATGAACGCCGAGAGGCAAACTGCACATTCGATTGCGTTTTGGGCGGTTGCGGCGGAGAACGTGAAAATCGGAAGAGATTTGATGACAGAGGGGTTAAGGCCACCACTAGTAGTGACGACGGCGGTGGAGGAAGGGTTTGCGAAGAAGGTAAGTGCGGCGGCGGTGCGGTTGAAGCGGCTAGAACGGTGGAGATACCATCGTGAACAGAGGTGGAGAGAGACCATAAGAATGACGATGAATAAGATTACGATTGTGGTGGTGAACATGATTTTGCTGTTTATAGTGAAGCTCACCGGATCCGAATTGGTACCGGGTGGGCTCATTGGATTCGGGTCGCGGAAGCTCATGGTTTCGGGTTTTGGATTAAGTGAAGTTAGAAAGAGTGTGTTGTTGGGGTGATTCAAGAAGTGAATGAAGAAGGTTTTGTGTTTTAAGACTTTTATTAATGGCGAGTAAGAGAGGGATGAGATATTTGGACAATTGTGGATTTTAAGACACCAATGTTGACTGATATTTTTTGCTCTTTTGTGTTTTGTTTTATGTGATTTATCTCCTCGAGGTTTATGTAGTTTGAACTTTCAATGAGGATAAGCTTTCATTATCTACTTTTTAGATCTTTTAAAATGGTCAGAGATGAGTAGAGAAGTTTGAAATTCTGCATGCATAGCTATTGTACACGCATAGCTTTTTTCTCTTTGATACTAACAATTCTTACATGCATAGCTATTAGGAATTTGAAATTCACATTTTCAAAATCTGATAACCCTTTATTATAGACACGTAAAAGTTTTCTCCCAAACTAACAAAGCTAAGACTATAAAAGTATTTTTGAAAAATTGTATACTAAGAGTGATATTTAAAAAAAAAATCCCTAACAAGTAACAACAAAGGGTGTTTATTGGCTTTTATTTAGATTTCCAATCAAAATTTTATGTTTTTGGATCAATGATTTTTATTTTTATTTTTATCAAATTATTGAGTTATTATTCATTTAATATATCAGTAGTTAAAAATTCATGTGAATGTTTTGATTTTTGTGATTTAATTTCATATTATATAAACAACTTTAGAAGAAGAAGAAATCAAGCTAAATTACAAACAAAACAAAAATCAAATAAAAGGGTGCGTAAACCTTATTCCTTTGAACGAGAGCGAACAAGTTGACTCAACGAACTTTGTTAAAACATTGTCATATCTTCTACTTGCTGACTAAATTCGCTTATTTACAAGAATGACATCTAAACCTTCTATTTAAATCATATATAAAATTCAAAACCTGTTAAGCACAATTCAAAGTAAGGGAGACTTGAAGTATGCACCCCCTACTTGAAGTATGCAAACAGAAACCGGTCCTCAAGTTTGGTTTGATTCAAGACAAAAATTAAGAATAAAATGTCTTTCTTTAGAAGTTGTTTTAAGAAAAATTTGCATTAACTTGTAAAAAACGTTTTAAAAAAAATATATAATTCAACATTTGTATTGGAAAAAATATCATAATATAAATTCGTTGCTATCTACTATACTCTCTCTAAATAAAGAATTTCTTTATGTTATTGATTAAATGACAATCAAGAGTCTCAAGTTCAAGTACCAACCTCCCAGCAAGTACAGCACCCTCTTGTCCCGATGGTCCTCTCTCCGCAGCTCCCAACAGTGACCTCGTCCACTTGCTAGGTTTTTGTATAATTTGCTCTGTTTTCAATATCAAAGTTTAACGTTTTTGTCTTTGTAAGGTTATAGTTAATCAACCAAACCAAGCTCTACCAATCTCGTGTACATATTTTTTCTGTTTGTTGATTAATCAATTTAACATTTCAACCCAAAAAAAACTATTCATAGTTCCTTAAAATAATTGCAAATTTTTTTTGTAAATGGCATAATAGTTACTATATATTTATATAATTTTTCTTTTATATTTTCACCCAATGCTCTTTTTTTTCTTTTTCCACCACCACTGCTTCATGCAATTCTCCGGGTTTCGCCATGTCATCATTTGACCATCAGACGTAGTCTTAGCCGCAGACAAATAATTCTCCCAATCCACAAGCAATTGTCTCAAATCTTTAATTTTATTCTCTAATCCCACACAACAATTGGCATGCATTGTACAAACGTTATCCAAGTCCCGACTTGGCTCACAAAATCCTCCGAAGTACTTTGTGTCGAGAAACCTCATTTTGAGTCCAATTTTTGCAGTGTACCAACCACCTTTGATATTATCGAGCACGTCTTGATCGTGCCGATCCGGATATCGCAGCCTCGACATGTACCAATAGTTGTAAAAATCTATGGTTCGTTGATTGGCTTTAACAAAAGTGAAACCACCATTAACAGCGTTGTGGATGTCGTTATCATCTCCATTAAAACGGTCACAAGCGATTTGGAAATCGACATCTTTAGATAGACGAGGAAATGGATCTCGAAACCACATTATATCTATGTCCTACACACATTAACCATATGTTAATAAAACATTATGCTATAATCATCAAATTCGACATCTTGCACCAACTCATTCGTTTTACTTAGCACCAAATTTTTACTCATTCCTATACGGCCTATAGAAGATGCATGCATGTATTATTGCCATTTAACGTTAAGAGTCACGACCAACCAATATTAAAATCATTGGCCCAAAGACTTGAACTCTACTTACCTAACCGTAATATGAATTCATCAACTACTAAATAACAATGAGTTTATATTATTCACGGGGTTACACTAGAATTAAGTCTATAATCCTTCTTATTCGATTCAAAGCCTATATCTTCTGGTTTTGTCACACTAATAAACAACATGCAAATGTTGGCAAGCCAAAATCAACAACATGTAAACGATGACGTAAAAATAGGGTGAGAGATAGATACCGTGAAGATAAAGTTATATCCCAGCTTTAACAAAGTACCCAAAAACTCTATACGACGCCACATCATCTTGAGATAGTCCGGCGTCATGAACATCTTATCGCCAGCGAAATCAATTCCGGCGGTTTTCATGAAATAACAACGACGGGGATGGACCTCCAAGCACCGAGAATATGCCTCCTCGTCGAGACACGCCACCACAAGGTGTCGGAGTAATGGCTTAGTCCCATTTCCGACATGAAAACTGTCGAGAAACAAATCAAACGTCGAGTTTGGCTCAGACCAAGCCCGGTTTAAGGTGGTTATTATCACCGTCTTATCCTCCGTCGCTGCTTCCGTCAGGATATTCCCCAATTTTTTCAGATCTTCTTGATGATGCTGTCCAACAATTAAAAACAAAAGAACAGATTATTTTTTTGTGTACCTAGTTTTGTTCCTTTTTTAAGTTACTCGTACATTTGTAAAAGACAGAGTATATACTAGCCAAAAAAAAAAAAAACCATAATAATAAAAATTGAAAATATAAAACTGCTTTAAGTTTTTGGAAATATATATTAAGAAATACAAAATGAAGATTTTGAAAAAAAAAAATTAAAAAAAAAAAGTTAAAAATAACGTAAGATGATAAAACGAAATATAAACACACACATACATTAGTTGTTAAAAAAAAAAGAAGACATACATATACATTGCATAGATGATAAGATGAATAGAATACTAACGACATCATCGGAGAAGTGGAAAAACAGTAGTGGATAAACACCAATTTGGTAGATCACTAAACTCAACAATCCGGCAAAGACCAAGCAAACACCGACCATCACTAGATCCCTTCGTCGCAAAAGTTGCGTCATCTTCCTCAGAGCCTTTGACCCTAGTCGTAGTCGTTTTGAATGGCTCATGAACTGAATCTCAAGTCGATATACTTATAGGTATACATATACAGGATACTAGATTACAACAGAATAGATAAGTTTAATTGTATAGAAAGGTATAATATGGGGAAAACTGGGAAACAAATGTTTAAATCCTTTGACGCTAGTCGTTTTGAATGGATCATGAGTTGAATCTGAAAGTCAGTATATTTATATGTATAAGTGTGTATGAAAAATACTATATTAATAAAACCCAAAAAAAGGAGAAGATAATCATATTGTGTAAGAAAGGTAAAATATGGGGAAAATGAACAAGTGTTTAATTTTTGAGAAAGCCTGTGGAAGGAAATAAATCTGTGCTAATAAATAAAATAAAAGAAAAATAGTATTTGTAGAATATAGGTGGTGAAAAAATGAAAGAAAAACTTTGGTGATTTAAATTATTTAGATATTATTTTAAAATATTGTGGCTATTTTTAGTCATTTTTAATATTTTCGTAGACAAAGATTTTATTAGTCAATTAACAAATCCAATTGGTATTTAATTTTTAATCCTAAAAGATTTTTTTTCTTTTTTTTTATAATCTTCAAATTTGAACTTGTAATAATTGTTGTTTTTGGAGATTAGTCATGATATCCAACTGGAGATTCTCAAACTTGTACTACATAAGAGATGGTCAATGTCACTTGGGACATTATGTATTTATGTAGACTCTTCCAAAAAACCTTGCCCTTCTATACCTTAAGTCAGAAACTCAGAATGTTGTCATTAGAGCTTGAGGTGATGAGCAACCGAATGAGTTGACTCAGGGTTTGTTTATGTATCTAAAAGATAAATTTTAACGGTTAAATATATATTTTTGAGCTTTATATCTTATTTTCGGATGCTATTTTGGGATTATATCTTTTTCCGTGTAATAATTATAAAATTTTAGATTTTGACCCCAAATCTTTGGATGCATGGCTCCACCAGTTGGGCTTTGGACACTTCTTTCTTTTTTTTTGCTAAGAATGTTAATATCATATTAATGAAATGTTAAGGTTATACAAGAGAGCATTACCTACAAAAGAGTAATCTTGGCAAAAAGATAAAAATAAGATTACACTAGAAATGGGTAGATCTGAAGATTATTGAAATGGGTAGAGCTTTGGACACTTCGATCAACTCAATTTGCTTGGTTCACGTTTGTTTTATTAGTGAGTTTTTGTAACTCTCTTAGAGCATCCTCAACGGCAGGATCTCAAAAATAGATATCTCATCACAAAAAAAAATTATTTTTATTATAATTTCTTATTTAATTAAATTTAAAATAATTAATTAAAGTCCACCAATAGAATCAATGAAACTGACAAATTGAATTTCTCTAAAATCTCTCAACGTGTCTTAAAAGAGACACTTAAGAAACGATTGTCTCATAATTAACCCTCTCTCTCCTTCTTTTTCTATTTTTTCCATTATTTTAATTATTAGAGTTGGTGTGAGATCTCCTAAGAAACGATTGTCTCATAATTAACCCTCTCTCTCCATTATTTTTCTATTGCTTTTTATGAAACAATGACGGGTAACACTTATATCCCATCTATTCATCATTAAAGAAAATCTTACAAACAAATGTAAATTCTTAACTAAACAAAACATGTGTTTATATTATTAACAATAATATACACGTAACACATGTTTGTTATATCAACACTCGTAACACATTTATTATTTATACGCGGGTTTAATTTTAATTAACTATAAATTGATTTCCTTGACTTCACCAAACCTATATATACTACAACTGAACTAGTTTGATGGACCGATATTAAAAGTTTTCGACACAATTTTTTCACTCTCACGTTGTTTGCTCGGTCCGTGTTTCAATAGTTTTTGAAAAGAAAGAAAAAAGAATATATTGACGCATTGATTTTCCGGGTGACACGCAAATGCCGGTTAGCTAGCATTCGAAGAAAAGTGACGAATGACTAAAAAGTTGATACCAAAAGTAACCATCAAGCAACCAAAATAATATACCCCTATGTATTTAGATACGAATCTTCCTTGTCCTTATAAGAATTTGGGGTTTCTTTCCAAAAAAATAATCAGAAATACTTTCCAGCAATTAATTTCAAGATTCCAAAACATACACCTAAACTGGTCGAATAATTGACAATCGTTTTACAAAATGCATTTCTTAATTTGATGTACACAATAATTTGTTGATTACTTTCTCCTTTTTTTATTCCTTGTGATTTGCTTTATACATACACAGATTGGACCATTTGTTCTCTATCTTTAAACGTACGACCTGAGATTTATCCCCACGACGTCGTCTCAGAGCCAAACACCTCAAACCACACATGTTCTTGTGTAGATATCTCTCACTTTCACGATTCCAAAATCATCTTCCTCGCGGATTCCGTCGTTTTCTCGGGAAAAAAACAGATCCGACGGTCGATCTCTCCACATTACACGAGAATCAAACAAACCGACAAGAGAAGATGTCGAGACTCGACGGCGTAGAACACAAAACCCTAAAGGTAAACGGCATAAACATGCACGTGGCGGAGAAACCTGGATCCGGATCAGGAGCAGATCCGATCATACTCTTTATCCACGGATTTCCGGAGCTTTGGTACACGTGGCGACACCAGATGACCGCGCTTTCTTCCTTGGGATACCGTACGATCGCGCCGGATCTTCGAGGGTACGGAGACACAGAAGCGCCGGAGAAAGTTGAAGACTACACATACTTAAACGTGGTTGGAGACATGGTTGCACTAATCGACGCCGTGACTGGCGGAGATAAGGCGGTTTTCGTGGTTGGTCATGACTGGGGAGCGATGATTGCGTGGCAGTTGTGTCAGTACCGACCGGAGAAAGTCAAGGCTTTGGTCAACATGAGCGTACTCTTTTCTCCGAGGAACCCTGATCGAGTTCCGGTTCCGACACTGAGACATGTCTTCGGTAATGATTATTACATCTGCAGATTTCAGGTATTAATTTGTTACCCTAATCACTCTCTTTAAAATTGAGGGACCGTATCAAACCAACCCAAACCAAACGATATTTAACCAAACCAAAATAAATAAGTTTGGTTAGTTCGATGGAAAGAAAGATTAATGGAATAATATAAGAGGAGAAAACGAATAAACATGATTAATGTTGTATTAGTGTTGTACTGTTGATAGATTGCTCTCAAGTATCGAACCGGAATTAAAGCAAAAGCATAGTAAAACCGGGTCCTTTTGTGATGAGTACGTATGATAAAACCAAAATCAAAACCAGATAAAACAAGTTTTTGGTTTGAGTTTGGTAAGAGAAAAGAAAACACCGAAATGTCCACTTAACTAAATTTTCCATTGTACGATTTTGTTTCTCTTATACTATTAGCTCATACAAAATTTGAATTAAATGTATTTTAAAGTAAGAAATTAAAGAAATGTTATCACAGTTGAATTTGATTGCTTTGTTATGTAATTATAAATACATCTTGTTAAAAAAACTTATGAGTGATTATTTTGTGATTAAGAAACCTGGAGAGATAGAGGCAGAGTTCAAGAACATTGGAACAGAGAATGTGTTGAAAGAGTTCCTCACCTACAAAACGCCTGGACCGCTCTATCTCCCCAAAGACAAATATTTCAAACGCGCAGAAAACGCTGCGTTTGCGTTACCACCGTGGTTAACACAAGAAGACCTCGACTATTACGTCACTAAGTACGACAAGAGAGGCTTCACCGGACCCATTAACTACTACCGCAACATTGACCGGTACGTTAATCACCACCCGGTTCAATAGTGTAATCACATAATTTCCAATTTTTAACCAATAGGTCCAAATTCGGTTCGCAGAAATTGGGAACTGACTGCACCGTGGACCGGTGCTAAGATCCATGTACCGGTGAAATTTATAGTCGGAGATCAAGATTTAACGTATAATTCACCGGGAGCTAAGGAATACATTAACGGTGGCGGTTTCAAGAGAGATGTACCGTTGCTCGACGAAACCGTCGTGATCAAGGGATTGGGACATTTCCTACACGAAGAAAACCCTGACGTGATCAATCAACACATTCACAGCTTCTTTCACAAGTTCCTTTAAAATCATAAACCAAGTATCGAATCAATAGACCGGTTTACAAACGATTCAAATAAAACAAATATAATATTCGTGTGTTTTACAATAACATGTATGATCTTGTTCATTGAATTTTTTTTAACTCATACCGGTTAGCAAAAATGTTTTGTTCTTGAATGATACCGGATAAAACCCGGAAAAATCGGATCAAACCGGATTTAATCCGATTTAATCTTGACCAAGTTTGATCGGACCGGTTCATATGAAATTAAGAATTTTCCCCCAAATTTTGGATTTCAATCATTTCTTCTTCTTCTTCTTCTTCTTCTTCTTCACTACGAATGGATCTTACGTTTGATCATAGTTTTGTGAAGGTGAATGGAATCAACATGCACGTCGCCGAGAAAAGTCCCTCCGTCGCCGGAAACGGTGCTTTCAACGGAGCTATCCATCCTCCGGTGATACTATTCCTCCACGGATTCCCAGAACTTTGGTACACGTGGCGGCATCAGATGGTGGCACTATCTTCATTAGGTTACCGAACTATAGCACCGGACCTACGCGGTTACGGCGACACCGACGCGCCGGAGAGCGTGGACGCGTACACAAGTCTCCACGTGGTTGGAGATCTGATTGGATTGATCGACGCCGTGGTTGGAGATCGCGAGAAGGTGTTCGTGGTGGGACATGATTGGGGCGCAATAATCGCTTGGCATCTGTGTCTTCTTCGACCTGATAGGGTTAAAGCTCTGGTTAACATGAGTGTGGTGTTTGATCCTTGGAATCCTAAGAGGAAACCAATCTCGATGTTTAAATCTTTCTATGGAGATGATTACTACATCTGCAGATTTCAGGTTCATGAATCTTGAATTTGATTTTAATGAATCTTTGGTTCAACATTTGAAATGTGTTTGGAATTTGGTGTTAATGATCAGATTTTTGACATAGAAGAACTTTTTGCTACTTTGTTAGGTATTAGAAGTTTTTATCAAGATTTATGTGTGTAGTGTAGGTGAATGAGGTTTTGTGTGTTTTTGGTTGCTGCGGAGCTATCTCTAACTGGAAGAATGGGTTTGAATATTGTAGGAATATGGGGAAATAGAGGCGGAATTCGCTAAAGTTGGCACGGAACGATGTCTCTTAGAGTTCTTAACATATCGTAATCCTGGCCCTATTCTTCTACCTAAAGGAAAACGCTATGATGATTCTGTTTCACGTCCCTCTTGGCTAACTGATTGTGATGTCAAATATTATGTGTCCAAGTATGAGAAGAATGGCTTCACTGGACCAGTTAACTACTACCGAAATATGGACAGGTATATACTCTGCTACTCTCGTATCGCTTGTTTATCCTAAGCCTTATAAAACTTGCTTGAATTCATTCAGGGCACAGATGCACTTGCATGTATATCTTTGAGCAATAATTGAGCTAGTGTTGTCCTTAATTCATTAGCCCTGCCTCTTTAAGTGGAGTCCTTTAGTCTTTATTATGAATAAGGAACCCTTAGAAGGGTTATTGTTATTGTAAACGTTTCTTATAAAGGCCATCGTCATCGTCTCTGTAATTGTTTGTTTATATAAGTTGGTGACTCTGCACTTTGATTTAGATTTCAATGTTTGTCTCTTCTTTTTCTGTGTATGATGCATTGATGATATATAGTAGATAAAGTAAGTCCTACCATTGAGAGGAAAAAACACTTATGTACTCAATTACTGTATGAATTAAGGCAATGTTGTGTTCTTTTGAGCTTTCGCTGTTTTTTTCTCTGTTATTGAGCTATTGCTCTTGTACTCTTTTTGGTTAATTAATGATGACAAAAAAAAAAAAAGACTACTAGAGGAAATGTTTTTTTTTTGAGCTAGTTTAATATATATTCTCAGATGATCAAAAAATTAGATTTTTAACCATGATAATTTTAACTATGAAAGAGAAAGAAAAAACAAACCAAAACTCTCTACTTTTGATTAATAACGAAAATGTCATTGATTAAAAAATTGTTTTCCAACTTCTGTATATCCACGACACTGTTCATTCCAACATCGACATACTGTTCATCACCGGATAATTGTCATCAATTACATTACAACACTGATCATCTGTGGATAACTATTTTATTTACCTGTTAAATGGTATATTATCGTGATAAGTTCATATAACATGTGTTAAATTCATAGTTATCGTGTTAAACGGGTTAGCATATCATATACAATATATTAGTTTAGAATTGTGAATTAATATTTTTAAAAATCATAATTAATTACATGATAAAAATATTATAAACATACTACATATAATGATAACGATAACAAAAATTATAACACACTACACATACTTGTAACGTGTTAAGATATTAAATACATAAAATAATATTGATATTAATCTATTAATACATTAAATAGTATTATATATTGATAAATTGTTAATGGGCTGAACAAATACAAGCATCGATAGAAGATGTGCTTTTAGTCAAGTGGTTAAATCTTTATGACTCCGCCTTCTCCACCGGAGTTCGATTCCACTAAGTCGCGCTACCCCGCGCGTAGTAGGGATTGGTTATGGATCGGGGCTTGTCGATCCAAAGATGTCAAAAAAAAAAAATACAGACATCTCTAATTGTCGACATAAATACTTTTAAGTTTACATCTCATCTTTACATCGACATAAATATTATTTTTTTCTTTTTGTAAAACTCAAAGTATGTTTATGTTTATCATAATTTATGATATATATCTTGTTATATTAATAGATACATATATATTTAAGGTATCATACCTATGCTTTCACATTATTTTATATGAAGCATATAGAGTTTATACATATATGGCTTTGCATTTTTATCCAAATAATCGAATGCGTATAGCTTCATAAACTCTTCACAAAATGTATATGATTATTATATTTGTTATTTTCAGTTAGAAAATAATATATTGTTTTCACTTATTTTACATGTTTCGTAATACATACAAATTTCAGATTTTGGATAATAATACAATATATTTTGTAACTAAAACTACAATGTATTTACTTAATAATAATATATGTTCTGGTAAACTACCTAGTTTTATTTTTTATTTGTGATATTTAGGATAGCTTTTTGTTTTATTTCAAATCACCTTAATTTTTTTCAATCTACATATGTTAATTTCCTAAAATCTGATTAATATTTAGTTTTTCCTTTTTTTTTTTGCTATTCATTTGTTTCAATAACTCACCATCGTTCAATTTAAAAACGTTAAATCATATAAAAATAAATAAATAAATTTAATTATTTAATTATATTATAGTTATAAATAATAATATGTATTGAATCCTTCTTATTTTTCTATGTGTATCATGAATTGATACTTTGATATTAACATTAACAAATATATTCTCAAATTTGAAATGTGTATTTCAACATTTATTTTGAGTAAAATCCTTTTAAATTTGGTATTTATTATTTCAAAAAATCTTATTTGTTATCTTACTAAATGATTATAACTGATTGTACCATTAAATATATGATATGTTTCTTTTTACTAAATCTAATCCTTTTAAAATATTTACACATTATATGTTAAGATAAATTATCTAATTTTATATTTATCCAACTTCTATTAATATATTTCATATTTTTGTGTTGTATTATTTATTTCGTTCTTTAATATTTAACTTAAGTTATTTTTTTTTAAATGTTTTCCTTTATTGAAAGATAATAGTATAAAATTTAAGAGTTCATTTACTTTAATATATTTTTTTTAATAAATAAGATATGTAGAGTTCACAAAAAAAATATAAAATATGATGACATGGATGTTGATGTGGACACTCTAAATGGAGGGAGAAGTATCTAAAGACATCTCAATTGGGGTATCCAAGATACTTTTTTTTTTTTTTATCAAAATAAGGAAAAAAATAAGAAGAGAAGAAGAGAAGGATTCTCATTTACATTTGTTTATTGTTGATTTCTTATTTTATAATTAAAAATTAAATATATAATTCAACTACATTAAAGTATTAACATATGTATAGATTTGTGTCATTATTTTATATATTGATGACCTTTGAGTTTCTCGTTATTCAACTAGGAATTTTCTGAACAATTTCATTGTGAGTATTTTGAGTCACTTTGAGTCGAGAAAATGTTACATTTGAACCGAAACAAGGGTTTAGTAACATGTTATTTTAATCTTCACTTTTGTATCATCGATTTCAGATTCATCGATTCAACTTTGTTCTCATTGTTTTGATTATTTGTATTGCAGCGTTTGTTGAAACTTGGAAGAATGACGAGTATGAGCGATCTTCCACCGGATTTGGTAGTCGAAATACTCACTAGGATTCCGATAGCATCTCTGAGAGCAGTGCGATCTACTTGCAAATCATGGAATGCTTTAACCAAAAAATGTAATTTGGGTAAAGCAGCAGCAACAAGGCAGCAGCAGTTTGTAGGGTTCATGACGATGAGTTCTAAGGTTTGTTCAGTAAAACTTGATTTCCAAGGAACCCGCAAGGACGAGAGCGAGTTCGTCGATCTATCTATAAACCAAGTAGCTTTATTTAATCAAGTTGAGATATCTAAAGTCCACTGCGATGGCTTACTGTTATGTGTCACTAAGGACAACTCAAGGCTCCTATTGTGGAACCCTTATTTGGGACAAACTAGGTGGATTGAACCAAGAAGATATTTCTATAGACCAGATCATTATGCTCTCGGATACGACACCAACCGTAACCATAAAATCTTGAGGTTTTTTGATGATTTTCGCGGAGGCAATGAGTTCGAAATCTACCATGTTAGGTCTAGTTCTTGGAGGGTTCTTGACCATATCACTCCCGGCAAGCTTCATCATCGCAGTGTGACATTGAAGGGAAATACTTACTTCTTTGCTAGAGAGAAAATGATAGAGGTTCTTGTTAATGTATCAGAGCTTAAACATTTTTTACTCTGTTTTGATTTTACAAGAGAGAGCTTTGGACAGCGTCTGCATCTCCCGTTTCATATTCATGGTAAAGAGACTGTGACTCTATCTGGTGTTAGGGAAGAGCAGCTCGCGGTGCTTTATCAGAAGGAGTCATTTGATATGTATAAGTTGGAGATTTGGGTTACGGATAAGATTGATCCCAACGCAGTGTCGTGGAGCAAGTTTTTGATGGTTGATATGAGACCACTCACTGGTTTTCAGTTCACTCAAGAAGCTGTGAGCTTCGCCATTGATGAGGAGAAGAAAGTTGTTTTGGTTTTCGATCAAGAAGTATATAACCCGACCAAGACCATTCTCATCCAAACAGTTTACATCATTGGAGAAGATGGATACTTCAAATCTATGAAAATCGGAGAAAATCCAAATGTCTGGATGCCTGGAGAGTTCCCTAACAGGCCTAAGTTTTCTCCCCCACTTGTGTCCTCTTCTTACCTTCCAAGTCTAGTGCAAATCAACTAACCGCGCAAAAGGAAAGTAAGAGATGCTTAATTACCTCATATTGAACAAGACTTGCTAGTCATTTATGAAGTTTGCTTCTATTTATCATCTATAAAAGAAATCGTTTTCTTGCATGTTTTAGCCTATTAAGCATTACATGGTTTATCAGTTCTGCTACATTACAAACCATCAAGTTTCCTTCTCTTGGTCTCTTCTGTTTCTAGACTCCGAGACTTGGAAGAATATATTATACTAGCATGTAAGATCCAACATAAGACATTTTTATTACATTCTCTTGCTTATGTGTGTATCAGGCGTCAACATTTAGAATTATGGCATACAGGCCTTACTTTGAAGATTTTTTTTTAAGACGAAATCCGCATAAACATGAATGATTTCTCACAATAACCAGAGAAACAAATTCAAATAAACACTTACATAAAAACATCCAAAAAAATAGCATTTGGTACACTACCAATGGCTCTATACTTGCCAAATTTAAGAAGCTCTTTCTCTTCGTTGCGCTCCAACAATCGGTCTCTTCTCTTCTGCTTACTTGTGAATCACAGCCACTTTGTTCTTCGTTTTCTCGCCATACTCTGTTTTTTCCTGGTCACTATCACATTCCAAGCACGAAGATGGCCGGAAGAGCCAACTGCCTTTGTTGGGCGAAGTGGTGGTAATTAAAGGTGTTGGTCATTTTCTCCATGAAGAAAGGCCTTAGGTAATAATAAGTAATTACAAACTATTTTCTCACTTTTTAGGCAAATTGTATTTAGAAATTACAAACGAAAAGGACTAAAACGTTATATTAGATTTTAAGGGACCGGTACTTGCTGATTTAATGACTACGCAAATTGAAGCAGTACCGGTTTCCTTTTTCAATTGCAAGAAACTCATTATATATTCTGAAAACTATAGAGGTCTTTGGGTAGACCCTTTCGTCGACACTCATGTATACAATGCATATAGTTGTTCCAATCACATAATCAGTGTCATGCATATAATTAATTATTAGAAAGGCAAGCAAATCAATAAAGCTACACCGAATCATAAACATAAAAACGCTCTTCAAATTTCTTATATAGAAGAACTATCTTGGGGGGGAGATGGTGTGGTAAAAAAAACAACAAATTTGGTAAAAGTTAATTAGATAAATAACCGATTAACCTAAAACAAAATAAATATAATTGCCCTAAGAAAAATAAATAGATTGGTGGCCCTAATCCTTTGCTTACTCCGTTTGTGTTCGGAAGAACTCGATTCATGTTATTAATCT